TGTAAACCACAAGTTACATGTTGTAGTAAGACATTACACTCGAATATCTTTAATTTGTTCTAAACCTTACATATTAAGTACCTATTGTAATTAGCTAAACTCTCAAGGAGTCTGATCTAATTTAAAATTAGAATTGATTTTGATCAAGCGATCTTTAATTTGCAAAGACATGTAACACTTGTCACTCGACTAGCCTGTAGTCTATTAATGTTACGCAATGTTGTGAAATTAACAATATACAATCATTAATAATAATACACAAGTGTTAAATCAATATATTTCATTCCTATTGTTTATCAACTAACTTAATAAACCGACAATTTCTGATATACTTTCTGAAGTGCTTACGTTTCATAAACTGATAACTAATTTCTTTGAATAATCGAAGTATTCTCGGTTACATAATTTTTATATTTATGTTGCAATACAACAATAATAAGTTATATGAAATTTATTTATTAAATAATTCATTAGCCAATACTCTATATGGATAAATACATTTGGTATATTCGAGAAAAAATAACTTTACCAATAACAGAAATGAGTAAAAATGGAACATCTAACAAAGAAAATTAAGAGTGAGGTAGAATCGTCAAGTGAGTAACAGTGGTCGTGGTAGCTCTGCTCAGAATTTCAATCGAACAATGCACACAGTTATATAAGAGTCGGATGCGGTTGTAGCTGACATCAAAACTAAGAATCGAAAGCACCTTATAAGCACAAACAAGAGACTAGGGGTGGCACATACATTGGCGAATTGACAGACCTACATGACTCCGACACGTTACATCCAATGACCACCTGACAACCTCGTTTGATAAAGATGACATGAACAGCCCTTGGGACGGCTACCAACACCGTTATTCTTGACGTGTATCTTCCCAAAAAACAAATGCTATATCAGATTATAGGAAAGGAACACGGAGAATAGACAAAATCAATGACTTTTCCACTCGTTTTCTTAGCCAATACTGTACGAGATTCGAGCACACAAGCGTTTCTTACGTGAAACTCTATCAAAAACAAAATGAATAATAATATTTATGACTTAATGATTTAAGTATCTACATATTTTTTTATCTAATGCCTTCAAAATCTTCATGTCTATTGATGTTCTTATTTTTGTGGTGTATTTACATACAGTTGAAGTTATTTTATCAGCTGTGAATGTTATGATTATAAATGGCTTATTCTCCATTTATTATTTTAGAATTATTACAATAATTTCTAATTTTATAAATTTCTTATTAAAGTATAAAATATAGTAAATAAAATAAAATATAAGGTTTTATATTATGTCAGTCTTTTGTATTATAAACAACAATAGTTTAATATGTAATAATGCTTATATTGTAATTATAATTTTATATATTTATAAAAGTTGTAGCAGGTAAATATGCCATAATTTGCACTATATGCCATAATGCACTACGTAAATGATTAATATAAATATCTGCATGTGTTTAGCTTATAAGTTATGTTCTTAATCTTGAATATTGAGAATATTTGAACTCGTACTGCTATTTACACAATAAAGTTCTCCTCGAATATTAAACAAAATAATATTTATTCTCGTCTTTAATGTAATGTACCATACATGGAATCTACATGAAATAGTAATCAGAAAAAATGTATTACGCTCTTATAAACTGAATCTATTTAACTGAGAATATAGTAACAAACATCAATTAATTTATAGTTGTATAATAAAATATTGTCTTTATTTATAACAATAAATTATATTAAAAATAAACAATAAATGTTTAAAATATAATATCATTCGGTTGTCTTTTAAAACAAGTAAACGATATCTTACTGAATATAAGAGTAAAAAATTATTTGTAAATAATTCTTTTAAAAAATAATTGATTGTTACAAATAATAATTAATTGTTTTAGAACAGTTTTTTTGTACATATTATATTTATAAATACTAAATACATACTATGTTACTATGATTGCAATAATTTTTAATCACATTAGAGTTCATTTAATCTGAACAAGTACATACATTTAATCATATCTATTTGCAGGTAAATGATGTAAATGACTTGAAATAAATAACATTTTATCAAGGAATAAATCCATGATTTTTATGACTACAGTTGAAATCCAAGTATTTCATAATACTAACTTATTAATTTATTTAATACAATATTTATTTACATCAGCAATAAAAGAAGAGAAGTTATTACACAGGATCTTTCAAATCATTAGGTAACACAAGGTAATAATAATTTTATTTCAACTATATCTACTTTATATCTACTTAAAAATATATTTTTCATTAATATATTTTAATACTCATTAGTCTTAAGGATGAATTCTATTTAGTTCATTATTATTTATGTATCAGACATTATTCTTCTAAGATAAATAAATTGCATATAGATTGTTCAAAAGTAAACAGTAATCAATAGTTCTGTTGAATTATTTTGTTCGATAAAGTTCAGTATTTTAGATAATTAATAATAATCACTTTAATTAATTAAGGAAAGTCCGGATATTAGAAAAATCCATGACCATATATTTACAATATGTATCTTGGAAATCGATACAATAATTATATAAAACAGTGATTCTTTTATGATTATATTATTTTAAAACAATAATATCGTATATGTTAATTTATTTATCATAGTATATTTAAATGAGGATATTTTGAAGTAGTTTTTTTATATTTTTATTTTTAATCATTATAAATCATAAAAAATTGTATAAAATTTTAAAATTAAATTAAACCCTTATAATTATGAAATAAGTGATTAAGAGTTCTTTTCCTTAAATTTACTTTAAATTCCTTTCCATAAATTTAATCTCTATCTTTAACATTAAAATCTAACATTAAAATTAATTATTTTTTATTAAAGATATTTATAACTCACTTGATTGTATAAAATTATATGAAATTAACATTGTCAGATAAATTAACAAAAGCAAAGACTCACTTGTGTATAAATTGCACTTGTATGGGTGCACTCGCTCTATACACAAAGATGTAAATAGTAATAGCGTGTAAAATGAAGAGAGCAATATTATATTATATTTATTTCATAAAGCCAATAGTTATGAAATATCGTGACGTATTCAGATGTCATTTGACATAATTTTGAGATATTAAATAATCTATTAAATCTATTTAATTTATCAATTTCAAATAAAAGTTCCAATTTTAAAATGAAATGCTCGAAAGACTACTATTTAGCAAATGAAATTTTGTGTAATAAAATTGTAATGATAAAATTAATCATACTTTACAACATATTCGATTACTAAATATATTATATACTTATCTGCAAGATTTGAAAGCTCCATTTATTTTCGAAAAAAAATTGGAAAAATATTTTCTTGTTTGAGAATGCGAGAACGTAAAATGCAATAAAACATCTGGCAAGCGATATCGTAAAATTCACATCAGGACTCAAACTTTTCTGCTCATAATTATTTGTACTAGTTTCATAAAACATCTGGAAAACTCCAGTGGAACGTGCCCTTTGCTTTACAGAGCAGTGAAGCAAATAAGTTTATTGCTGAAAACCTTCATGTAGATTCCGAACGAATATCACTCGATATATGAAATATCGAGTACAAAACACTTCTTTATTTATTGCAACCCAAAAGTCCCAAACGTGCGACAACTTGTATTAACCGCTTAGACTTATTAAGACAACACATGCATTGCCTTCTGTGTCAGTCACATCTGGTCGGTCGCCTCCAAAACTGACCACGCCCAAGAGGACCCTTCATCTAGCCAAGTCCCAGAGAAGGGAGAAGCAATTAAGAAGAGATGACCAATAGCAAAAACTCCCCACTTCCGACACTTCTCTGATTAGCATATTCGGAAGTGAACTCGGAAGGAAGTGGAGATGAAGGCGTGCATAATCCATTATGCTGTCTTAAAACGACATCTGATTGGTTAATTAATAGAAAAGGGAGTTCCTAGCGGGGTGGGACCAGTGAAGCGCTGAAGATAGAAAACGGTAACGCAACGAGAAAATCACTTACTCTTTCCAAATACTCCTTACAGTACTGGATAAGTCACGAAGCACTCTCACGGAGGAAAACCAGAGAGACAAGTCGCTTTAGCTAGCTGAGTTTAAATAAGAAGTTCTTTCTACGATTGTGAAATAGTATACAGTTGACTCAATTTCATCAAGACTAAATTGCATAGGATCTGACGACTCGCAACCTTGATTGAGAATCAGAAAGAACCTTCGAATTGCCACATTGCGAGGGAACGTAATAACAAACCAGCAAAGAGAGACAAGAAAAATCATGATACACTGCAAGTAAGTCCTTACAGCTAGTACTCATTCTTGATTTCTTGGCTTAAGAACGGAAGGACGAATTAATGTCCAACTTCGCAAGCTTCCCGGACATACATTAGCGCAA